ATTGGTTCTTCGTAAGGTCAAGGCAACCACCAAGGTGGGTATTAAACCCAAGCCCACTCTACCTCTGGCTGATTCGGCCCCGGTTAATCCAAATGCGGCCATGTTTGATACCCCAACTGCTTATTCTTGGACCTCATACAACGCCAGTGGGTCCAACCAGCCACATTGTCCTCTCCCAGCGGAGTGGACAAGAAACTTAATACAATGGAGTCCGTCCTGGAGGATCTCCTAGCTCTTCTGGCTGTAGATCCACCTATTACGGCCCTTACTTCTAGTGCCTCCTTGCCTGCGGACCTGTTAGAGGGTCTCAAGGCGGAGGATAAGAAGGCAGAAAAGGTCTGCCATAAGACCCACTTTGCGGCGGCCTGGGCTATTAGGGCGTCCTCTTCCACTCATTCTTTAGTAGGGCTGCGGTCATTTGGCTGTGTGAACTCGCGAATAAAATCCCCATGGGAGACGCACACCTCTATCAAGATGTGACCAAACTTATTGCAGCTTCGCAATATGCGGCGGACGCCGCTCTCAACGCCACTAAATTAGCCTCTAGGGCCCTAGCTGCGAATGTCACATCTCACTGTTTGCTCTGGCTCCGACATTGCCAAGCAGACCAGAAGCACAAATGGAAGTTGGCTTCAGCTCCCTTTAAGGGATCAAAATTATTTGGAGACGTCTTGGACCCTTTCCTCATCGAGTCAAAAGACAAGAGGAAGGTCCTCCCATCAACCTCAAAAAAGCAGGACCGCAAGTCTACCCCATATTCGAGGAGGCAGTCCTTTCGGCCCTCCGAGCCATCCACCTCCACTCCCTTCTACCCCCCCTAATAGATCGTCAGGGCAGTCGGGGGAGAGGGCTCAGGACAGGTCTTCTTTTCGTGACAGAGGCAGACAACAATTTGGATTCCGCAAATTTAATTGCGGAGGCGCCTCCAATAGGCCCTTCCGAAAATCAGTGACTTCCCAAGCTCGTCACCCATTGGGGACCAACTCCAACTGTTTGCCTCCCCTTGGGCCCAGACAGCTCACGACGCTTGGGTTCTGCGGATAGTTCAGGAGGTTCTGTCTCTGGAATTCCTATCCCCCCTCCTAGGAACTTTGTCAGGTGTCCTACCTCCTCATGTCCCATCAAGAGGGAGCAGATGAACCAGGAGGTCCTCCACCTCCTGGAGATGAATGCAATAGAGCAGGTGCCCCCAGACCAGGAAGGGAGAGGATACTACTCCATCCTCTTCCTGGTCCCAAAGAGCTTGGGTGGGGTGGGGGTGGAGGACCATCTTGGACCTCAAGAACCTCAACAGGCACATCGCCTACCGGAGGTTCAAGATTCAGTCCCTCCAGTCGATCCTGGCAGGGATCCGCCAGGGAGACCTCCTCACCTCCATCAATCTGCGGGAGGCTTACCTCCATATTCCCATTCACCCCCAGCACCGGAAGTTCCTGCACTTCTTTTTTGCGGGCCACCATTTTCAATACAGGGCACTCCCATTCGATCTTCACGAAGGTCCTGGCGGTAGTGGTGGTCCATCTCAGACGCAGGCCTATAAGGCTCCAATGCTACCTGGATGACATCATCATCCAGTTGTCGTCCAGGTGGCAGGCCTTGTGGGATCTTCAGATCACTATGAGGACCCTCAGAAACCACGGGTTTTCACTGAACTTAGAGAAGAGTCACCGCACCCCCACAACCAAGATCAACCATCTGTGGGCAGTGATCGGCACCATGTTCTGCAGGGTTTTTCTCTCCCAAGACAGGTTAAAGGCCCTCAGCTCCATGACCCACACGGTGATGCAGGCAAGGTAGGTGCCGATTGTCTTCCTCTCCCAACTATTGGGGAAGATGATCTCCTGCCTGTCGATCATTCCCTGGGCTCGCCTCCATTCTAGGGCCCTGCAGTGTCTCCTTCTACCTCACCAGAGAGCCAGCAGGAGCAATTCGACCAGACTGATTCCCGTTCCACAGGCTGTGAAGAGGTCCCTCCGGTGGTGGGCATCACCTGCACTCCTCAAGGGACATCTGTTCAAGGAGCCCGACCGCCTGGTCATTACCACCGACACCAGTCTCGCCGGCTGGGGAGCACACATGGGACGTCTCGTCCCCAGCGGAGTCGAAGTGCAGCATCAACTTTCTCCAGGTACTGTCAACCGGACAATGTTGTCTGGCGACCCCCNTGGGTTCCCAGGCCCACTGGCAGAACGAGGTCTTCAGCGTCTTCTGGAAGAGTGTTAGATTGGGGGCTATTCTAATCTTGGGAAGGATGTTCCAGAGAGGGGGAGCCACCATGAAGAAGGCCCTTCCAGATATATCTCGCTAGGGGATGGGACCCACAACATTTCTTACCTCCCCATTTTAGTGGGTTTATTTATTGATCATCCAGCTTAGGTTGTGAACTTATATTTTATGTTCTTTGAGTTGTAAAAATAAATGTATTTTGCAAGTCAGTAGTTAGGGTTAGGGCTAGGGTTAGGTGATTCACAACCAAAAGGGAAACATAGAATTGAAATACTTAAAAAAAAAGATTGAAGAGGTACAACAAGAGAATGCAGAGAACAGTTTGTATATGCAATTTGCAAAGGCTGTAATTAGGCATCATTTTCTCAGCCAGGACTTGGAAAAAAAGAAAAGTACTTGAAGAATTACAGTAATGTAAAATATAGAGTTTTGAGGTAGTATTAGCAAGCGAACATCAACAGATCCAAACTTTTGACTTTTTTTCAGCATTATCAGCAAGAAAGCCCAACTCACACATGCTTTTCTTTAGCATGTGATACTGCATCAGAATAACATAATTTGAAGCTCTTCATTATTGGTCAGTTATTGTCATGCTGGGCAAGAGATTAATCATTAATCTAGTTAGTGGATTAATCCACTAACTTGCCATATTTGTCTCTGTATCTGTGCATTGGTCTTATTTTTAAAAATCCACATAAACTGTGTTGTTTGTACAAATAAAAGGCAACAGCCCTGTAAAACTGGATGGAATGCTGATCACTCCTTATACTTTTCTCTCCCCATTCACCCACTTTGGGGATTTATATAAATGCCAAAATATATGTAATTTTAAGGTTTAACATCTGTCATGCTGTTTGAGTGTATATACATAAAATTAAAATTCTATGTAAAAAAAACTTCTAACAAAACAAGAGAAATGCATCATTCTTTAACAAGATTAACACATATTAGATTAAACAGGTCAAATTAAATATAAACAAAAGAGAGCTGGAAGGGTGTATAATTTTACAGTATTTAAAATAATCTAATATTTTAAAATGGTTTAGTACAATTCAGTACTAAATTTTATACAAAAAGTGTAGAAAATGTTAATTGATGTAATTCATGTTACACTAAATACACTAAAGTCAGTTCACAGAAACACACCATACTAATGTATTTTTACAAAAATAATTTCAAATGTTTAAACAAAGATTAATAAAATAGTTAAAAGTTTTAAAATAATGAAAAAACAGAAACTATATGTCAAATATAAAGTATAATGTTAGAAGAACTATGTCCATTTTAATAATTAAAAAGCAAATAAATCTCTTTATTATTAAAGCAAACACATGTTGTTTTGAAAACATTTAAAAAGTGTGGGATGGGATTTCAACATGTTACCTAGAATATGTGATGTAACATTTCCTTGAATTTATTTCAAGAAACAAGAATTAAGTGAACAATAATATAAATACAGTACTGTATTATATGATTGTCTGTTTTGTTTAGGATTAATCAATTATCAAATTTAAAAAAATATTGGAAAGTAATCTTTTTTAAAAATCTTTTTTCAGAAAACCGTAAGAAACAATGGATGAAAATGTACACAAGAGCATTTTAGATGATTAGATGATTTGATAAATTTCAGTGTTTCATTATATTGATACATTTTTAAAAAAGTATTACCTTCCACAAAAAGATTGAATGTAGACATTTTAAGTTTTTCCTTCTTAAAATTACTAATGTTCTCACATTCAAATGTTGCACACACACACACACATCTCAGTGTCAACTATCTCAGGGTTTCCACGGTTCTTTCTACTTTGGACGCCCATGCAATTTCTCCCGTTGTTGAACGAAAAGCAACAGTCTGTCCTACAACCGTAAGAATTATGCAAGGGGACACGAGAGGAGGGATCAAGAATCTGTGCAATGTACACCATTAGTGCAGAAATTAACAACTGTTTGTTTGAACTTTTGCACAGCAGTTTGCATTACAGGAGAACCCAGAGGGATTCCGTTTGTCAATAAAGGTGTTGGACTTTTGGTGTGTGTATGTTTGTGTATTTCCAAGCTGTGACATTTGTGGCGCGGCGATGGTTGCCGCACATTTTGGATTTGCCTTTTGCTTTGGCGATTCGTTTCAGTGGAGACACTCCGTCGTTTGCATTCTCGGAGTGTTAACGGGGGCATTACAGAGTTTGGGTTACAAGGGACAAAAACGTTGTGATTTTCTTTATGTTTTTGGCGGAGGGGGGCCAACGGAGGATAGGCGATGCGGGGGGCAGCGGAGGATAGGCGATGCGGCTGCTTTGTGGCTCCCGGTGTGTAATAAAGAGAAAGGTAGTTTTCTTCCCCTTGCACGCCGCCACTCCCACCCCCCTTTTCTTTGTAAGGAGGGAAAGGACAGAGCGGCGTCCTGACCCTCCTCATAGTACAACTTCTCCACCCCTTTTATAATAAATGACGACATCGCCTCTTCCTGCCTTCCCGCCACATCCTGTCACCTTCTGTTTTTTGTTTTTTTACGCCCTCCCCCCCCCCCCCAAGCACACCCTGACGGCGGATTTAACGGGACCACGCTTCCCGGAGAAGAAGCGCGGCGTCAAAGCCTGAGAGAAAGAGCGAGAGCGAGGGGTGTGTTGGGCGTGGCTTCAGCAGATGACAGTCGCAGGGCGGGGCCTGAGCAGCTCCTCCGCGCGAGCCCAGGCGGTTTGGTTTATGTATGAGTGTGTGTGTGTATGAGAGAGGAGAACGTGAACGAGCGGCGGCAAACGACGGCGAAGGCGGCGGCGGCGGCGAACGCCGCGGTGGGGGCCGGTAGAGCGCGAGGCAGTCTGTCAGGAGGAGCAGCCGCTTGCCGGGTGGAAGGGCAGCCGAGAGAGCGAGAGAGAGAACGGAGGAGGGCGGGGCGACAAGGGGGCTCGTGGAAGAGAAGGAAGGCAAGAAAAGGAAACGAAGGCGGTCGCGTCTGAGGGGGGACGTGAGGGTAGCCAACGAGGGGGGCGGAGCCTCGCTTATCTAGCCTCCGCAGCCGCCGCTTCGGCTTGTCCGAGAGCTTTCTCTCTCTCCCTCGCGCTCTCGCTCTCTTCCCCCCTCCCCCTTCCCCTGTGTGCCCTGTGGCCGTGTGGAGATGGCGATGCTGGATCTGGCCCTGGAAGGACTCGCCGTCTTCGGGCTCATCCTCTTCGTGGTCCTGTGGCTCATGCACTTCATGTCCATCATCTACACGTAAGTCGGGCCTCTCAGCTGCTGCACCTCGACCCCCGCTCCCCGAATCGCCCCCCCCGCACGCGGAAATTGTGGAGTGGGGCTTGTTCTCCCCCTCCCCCTCCATTGCGCTGCTTCTCTTCTATCCGGCGCCTCCGCGCTTTGCCAACCCAAACCTCCCACCCACCCAAATCTCCCAAGCTGAGAGGCGGCGCACCTGCCTTGCTCGCCCTGGGGGTGGGGAACCAACACTGCTCGTCCATGCCGCACTGCCCCCCCCTCCTTCTATGTACCGCGTCCACAGCTTTCTCCCCCAGCCCCCCTTTTTTCCTCTTTACCTCCCCTTCCCCGCCCCCCATTGGGACGCTCTCCGGCGCCCCTCGTCATCCCCATTCGGGGATGGGCTAAATTCGGCCGGTGGGCTAAACGCGCTCCTGTCCTTTGGAGGGAACTGGCCCGACCTTTGCTTTGGGAGAGCAACCTAGAAAAAGGGCCAAGTCATACAGATTTACAACTACTGATCAACAATACGAATCCCTGCGTTTCTTGCCTTGTAAAGGGAGGAGAGGGGTATGCTTTTAAATCTGGTACTACTTGCCATGCTGAGCTCTATGGGCTGCCTTTTTTGTCTACCTGCTTTAAGCCGGCGGACCCATGAGGAAGCATTACAGTAGCCTCTAGTCTAATTCATACATATGGCCAGGTTTCAACGTTAGATCTGGCGCTTGCTTTGCTACAATGTAAGGAAGTAGTGACATTTTATTTGCCGCGGATAGTTTATCTCTCTCCCCCAGATAAATGCCATACTTCATGCCTCCCCCCACATACGGTACTTAGCAGACCATGTTTGTATCGCCCAGTTTTAGTGTTTAAAATCTAGAATTGCAGGTTTCTTGTTGTTAAACTATTCACGGAGCTATGGTGTTTTAATAGTGAGAGTTAAGCCTAAATGGATTTAACTTTTAAGTTGATTTTAAGGAACATTGAAACAGAGACTGGTTTTTATTATGCAAGCAGTATATTAATGCATGATTAATTTAAGATGTGTGACATAATTCCATCGTTTCAGTTTGTCAGATTTCTACAGTAGCTGTGTTGCAATGGGCAGATGAATAAATGCTTATTTAAATATTCTTAAATTGTGAAATATGTTTGTAGAAATTTGTTAACAACAGATTTCTTGAGAAGGTGTTAATAATTGGCAGTTGAGACATTTGGAATGTGTAGAAGAAGATGAAGATACTGAAAACTTACTGTGACATAGTTTGAACTCTTACAAATAAAATCTCAATTATTTGCCAATTATTGGTTATAATGAATCACCTTCAGGCTTATGCAAAATGTTTGGAACAAAATGCAATGATTTCTTGATGGCACTGACATTTGGGGCCTTTGAACCGATTTTTCTATGACTGTGTGACCTAAGTGTTTCAAGCACTGATAATATTTTAACTCTTAAAATCAATAATGAATTTGAAATTAGACTTCTGAAGGAATTCTTGGCCCTTCTCCTTTAATTAATTAATTAGCTTTTATAACTTGACTGGGATACTTCTACCTAATTTCTCCAATTATATACCACATTTTTGTAATAAAAATCTAGTAAATCTCTTGAGTCCTGAAAACCTCTATGAAAGGAAAGAGAATTAGTTAAAAAGAGATCTAACATCAATCATATTTAGAAGTAGATTTATACTTAGCAATTTGAATATTGATGTGGAAAATTAAATTATCCACTGTCTTGGTGGCTGTATTGTTTGTCCTCCTTCAAGCACAATATAATGTTTCCACTGAATCCTATGTCTTTTTCTATAGCAACTTTGCACAAGGAAGCAGGTAGTAGTAACAGGATAGGAGGAACCATTTATTCCATGCAGAAAATTAAGAACATTAAATCTGTATATGCCTGAATTTCAATCAGGGTTTTATAACATGGAGATTATTATAGGATTTATTAGTTAAACAGTGATGCAATCATTTTGACTAGATTTGTTTGAAGTCTGCAAAGAAGAAATTTATATACAGTATTTCAGGATACAATACATGTTGTAATACCTATAGAGCAGAGCAAAAAATGTAACATAGATAGCACAAATAGCTTTAGTATACTATGTAGCACAGTAACCTCTACATCTTTCCCTTAACAGCTAGAGGCGCATATACTGTATAAAGAATAAGATTATTGTTTTTGTGTAAGCCAGTTGGCTGAAATAAATATATATTGCATGAGGAATTATGATGCTGATTTTAAAAACATGTTTTGAATAAATTTTTACAATTTTATATAATGAGTCTATTAGGAAATAGTATTTTGAGTTAAAAAAGATTTGCACACTTGCATTATTTATCTGATTCTGTATGTCATAACTGTCAGCTATTTGAAGTCTTTTGATTTTACAAAAAGAAAAGTAATGCATGGAATGGATTGATTTCTCTTTAGGTAGCATGATATTACAAGCAGCTTAGTTCTAAGTCCAATTTAACCATCACTATCACATTTTTTTTAAAAATTCAAACAGAGCATATCTAATTTGAAATAAATGTACAATTCTTTTCTACTGAGAAGTAATGGAATTAAAATATTCTCCTCATACTGGATTAGTTGAAGGACATAATTAAAACAAATTTGTGGTAAGGCAAGATAGCTGCAAAGGGAATTTAGTGTTAGGGCATTTATTTACACACCCTCAGTCAAAGTGGCTATACTTCTACATTCATTACATATTCCCCATCTTTGCATGTATATTGACTAGCAAAGCTAGCATTTGGAGGCCAGAGATCATAGCACACACCTTCTTCAATATCCTTGATCCTCAAACTGATTTAACTGATTATTAATGTACGTGTGCATGGTTGTAAAAAAGCGATTTTCTTTCAGTATTTCTGTAGCCTGTTTAAAATAAAAAGCAGGTGTTATACTGGCACAACATGAGGGTGAATGTTTGATTTTTAGCATTCAAGCTCTATTTCTATTCAATAGTCTCTGAACAGCTCCCTTACAACAGGGGAAATATATAGATCTCTGTATCTTTTCCATTATATGAAGCAAAACAGCCAGAGGTACTTTCTTTGAAAAGAAGGAAGTTGGGGAAAGAGCATTCTGTTTAAGGTTTTATTTATGTAGCAATATTTGAGAGAAGTGTAGGGCAGTTACTGTTGATAAAATGGAGATTTGTAAATGCAACTATTTATGTATTTCTAATGTAATTTATTTCTTGCATTTTTCTTTACTGTGCTATAAAGTAATGAATGACAAAAAAGTTTTGGAGTACAAGAAGGAAAATAATTGCTCCAACTTAATATTTAACTCAGATGCTAATACTGTTTATCAGGTGTTTAATATTTAATAGTTACTTAAATGGCTCTTGGTGACTATGCAGATAAATACTATCTCAATTTGTTTTTAATGTTAATTTATAGCTTTTCCAATGACATTCCAGTGATCACTTTTATTTTAACTATTGTTTTTCCTATCTTCTACTTCCCTCAACCTTACCATTGATAGGGTTTAACTTTTTTTTCTTACTCCATAATTTGCTTGTATCACGTCAAATATGTGAGTTTCTATTTGTTGATCATATCTTCAAGATAGCAGTCATACACTATTTCACCCAGAAATATAGATTGGTTCTTCTTGCAATTCAAATTAGTAATCACTTTCAAATCCATCATTATCATTTGCAGATGTCTTTATTTCCTGTTATTTCTTATTTTTCAATATTTCACAATTGTATGTTACAGTGAAAAAGCTATAGATTTGCCCATTCTGGTCTTTGTTATAGAAATATCCTCATTCTTCATGATCTTGTTTGTGTTTATAATTGCCACCTTCCTAGGTATGTCCTACCTTCACTTGTTTGCCATCAACTGTATGCTCACTAAGCATACTGGTTGAATAATATATGCATTTTTAATACTGAAAATTAACCAATATTTTTTAGTTTCCTTTTTATTTAAATGATTTATATTTTACAAGTTTTCTTTATTTTCAGTTAATAATGGAACATCTGCATATCTACCAATGTTTTAGTATTTTAATTCTAGATATGCCCTTTTCTAGTATTACTATTGTTATATTCTCCCTCTAAGTTTAAACAGATATGGGAAACATATTCTGAAGTACTCTCTTTCCAATTCTGAGCTATTATATTTCTTTGATTTTGAAGTAGTGTAAGGGACAGGTATTGTAAAGGTTCATCAGAAGAATAATTAGGTGTTTTTGGACATCCATTTTCCTTAATATACTTCACTTTCATAAAACAAAAGCTTTGCTGCAGACATTTTAAAAACAACTCTTCCTTTTTAAATTTCTGTTTTCTCCATGATCTATCGATCTGACCGTGTGTCCCTTTTCCTAAACTTGCCTGTTCATCTGGCATTTTCTCTCCCCATATATGGCTTTATTATTTGTAAGAACTTAACATTACACATTGTGTGCATGTTAAATTAATGTAGTGGTTCAATCATTTGTGTATTCACTTACCTTCCCGCCTCCTTTTTCTCTAAGTCCAACTGCCTGGTTTCATATATATTTATTATCAGGTTTATAACCACATGTTCTTAGTGAATTAATTAATGGCAGTTTATAACACAAGAATAAATATAATTAAGCAATAATATCAGTTCAAAAACAGCAATAAAAGAGTTAAAATATTTCTAATCTTATTTGACATTGGACTGTTAGTACAAAGAAACTCTTTTCTTCCAGTTTTAAACAGTTCAGTGAATAGTTCATGTATGCTTGATGCTTCCATATTTGATAACTGGTTTATTGACTCATACATTATCTTTTTCTATTGGAGTTGGTTCTTGAATATAACCTCTCTATAAATGCTTCTGCCATTCTACATTCTTGTTTGTAAAGAGTTTCAGTACTGTATTTCCATGTATTTTTAACCTTATTTAATGTAACCCTATTAGAGCTTTTTTTGTCATTACTCGGGATTATTTTTGCCCTAGCTGTACACTTTCTTGTGATTTTTTTAAAATCTCATTTCTCTCTTTTTTCCCTTTATTTGTTG